TCGCGCGTCTTTTCGTAGACCCCGTATAATATTTCTACTTTTGGAAAACAAGACTTTCTAAAACGTGAACACTTCATCGGTGCATATGTAAGCATGCTTAAATATTCATTCAACGACTGGACCCATTAAACGTTTATTCAGATTTAAAAGAAAGGATAATAGGCGATACGAGGGAAAGAAAATATGCCACTCAACACCGTCATAACATATTAATTACATATTTAAACTGACAACCAAATTGATTTAAAACCATGTCTTATTCGAGTTCCTTCGATGTTACGGAATGGAATTGGAATTTATTATTTTTCTCACTTTCCTAGAAAATAAGTGTAAATGTTGAACGGTGAAAATCTTTCTTTACACCAATACAGAGCCATTCCTCGAATGAGCCGTCTCTCCGCTTCGTTTCAGTGGCTCGCTAATCTTTACGGGTTTCGAGTTCAAGCACGTTGAAGATTTTCGGTCTCCCTTTTGACGAGTCCTTTTTGTAGCGTTCTCCGTGCTTGATCGTCTTCGCAAAGAAAGACCAGGGGCGGAACAGGGAACGTGTCTGAACATGCGTCCCTTTGTGGGGCCAAAATCACAATGGCGGAAGGCGCGTCCTCCTACCACGTTTTGTCGCCATGCAACCCACACTGCAAGTGAGTCCCTACGGATTCACTTCAGCCTTGAAAGATGGTCCCAAGACGTGGGAATTTTGGACAGGTGATCGCCAAGATTGCCGGTGGCAGTAATTTTAAACTGCCCTAGAGCTCCCCCTGTACTTCTGGTAGATCGGCGGGTGCCGATCGATCGGCTGATCGATCTTCGCCTCGCCTTGCAGCGATGGTCATCGAAATTGGTGGTAGGATGACGAAACAATACGTGATCGATCATATTCGATATTAAATAAGCCTTGTCATAGACCTAATCGGAGGTCTTGTTTGGATTCAACGTGGTTCATTACATTTATTTCCGAGTCACGTCAAAATGTAAAGAATAAACGCGAAAAACATTCTCAACATATGGAACATCATTTCTCAATTGATAAAATTTAAGTTGATGTAATTACAATACATGCATATTTCCCCCCTAGGAATTTCAAATGGTTACAATGAAGGAAATTATTACCTGAATTCAAAAAATTGTAATTCATACGATTTCATTTATCCATCCACCGTTCAATTTCTTCGAATAATATTCAGTGAGTACATCCAGCCAAGCAAGAACCAGGAATTTATGATGATTTCAACCAATTGGTTGTCATTTATTGGATCTAATAAATTTACTAACGAGACTGGGTTTACTACTGTACATTTAACTGCTGTAGAATACGACCGTCGTAAAATACGTTAATATTATTGGAGCGACTGCTTGGATTTAACAATTTTTCTAAAGAGGACATAACGATGCATGTTTAATATTAACGGAGTAACGAGTCACATACGTTTAAATCTAAAACACTGAACTGGCACACCTATATACCGCTCGCCTCTCTTTCGATTAAAAACTGTTTACTTTACGGTAGGCATGTTGGCCTATAAAATGAAGTCCAGTCGAGTCGATTCTGAGCCTCGGTTCTACTCGTTACTGAAAAACTTTTTCCTTAGCAAAGTATTTTTTCAATGTCGAGGAGATCGAGCGAGTTCAAAGAGAGCTCGTTGATTTGGTTATGTTGGTTATGTTAATCGGCCGGCAGTTCTCCGTGTAATGGGCAGTTGTCCGCTTCGGAAGTCTTTCTTCCTCCGAGCTGGAAGTTCTGAAACTCTTCTAGCTCAGCGTTCAGGAGCGTTCTCCGGCAAAGAGGAGAGTGCTTACTTTCTTTCCCGGGTGCCGTTCAATTAAAAGAGAATCGGCCGCGCTAATCGACCCTCTCGCCTAATGAAACTCAACTGGGCAATTTCTCGAGATTGGCCCAAGCGACGAAACTTCCATGGCTGTCGGCTTCCAGAGGCAAATTCGCCTTGTCTTTTTAATTTTCTTTCACCATCAGAGTCTTGATTTTTTGCCCGGCTCCTTCGCCTCGGCAAATATCTCGTTCCGTCCCTAGCCCGTCATTCGTCTATCGGCTTTTGGCTTCCTTGTTCCCAGTGATGGTTATTTTAAGTCTTCAATCGCAATTCTGAAGTTGTCTAACTTTCGAAAAGTAATTTTAGCCACGTTAAGAAATTTTCGTGGGGCAATTCTCAAATTGGTGCACCACGGTATAGGTTATTTATCAATTTTTTGCCACCTGAACGCTTGGATGACCTCGACGAAATTAGGCTTTAGAAAATCTTCCGATCACCAGGAAATATTTATACGTTTGGAGATACATAAATCAGTCAATCTGGCCATTCACATATATACAATTTAATTATACTGACTGTTTACATTTGTATAATTATAAAACTTGTCAAATTTCACACGGAATTCGACAATCAAATTATGCGCCCGGCCTTTCAAAACATGATTTCTATTCTACGCGCCTTCCGTGCGTTTCATTGCATATTACGCGAAATGTCGTGCTTAAATTCTCGATTCTCATTAACGAGATTATCAACATTCGATGCTCGGACTGCACACAATATAATTGCGTTGTCCGTGTTCGGGCAGCGAGTATATCACCGGGTCGGGATGGAAATTTTGCCGACCTGCTAGCTACTCCATTGTTCAAGTTTCCAACTTCAAATGGCACGTATACGTTTACCGATGCATACCGACTCGCTGCATTATCGAATTACTTCGAATCTCTCGTAAAAGCATTCCGTGCAAGTTCGGTCGTCGTGAATAACCTTCCGAAACACGTAAAAGGACCTAATATCAGCTAAATTACGGCACTAAATAGCACTTCAGGTAGGATGAGGAATTTCCTAATGCAGGGACGTTTAATGCGCATCCCAGTTAAAGCCACATTATTTTTAAACATTAAATATTCGATAAGAATTCCAAATGGTACATAAGGTAGATAATAAACCTGCAACAATCAAGAAAATGTAATAATTTGCTATATATATAAAACGCATTTACAGTATATTACATTCTCAAAAATCTGACGATATGCAATCAATATCTACACGTACCCATGATCATCTCACGATAAAATCATAAAATAATCATATTAACACATTTTCTCCCCGCACAATGAAATATGTGAATATGTCCGGAAATAAATAGCTCCGGAACGTCGATAACATTTCAAATCGACGAAAGGCTTTGGTAACCGAAAAATCTGTTCTTACGTGAACCAACAAGAGGAGTATCGAGGCCACGTCAGCGATACTCCCGAGTGCAGAAACACGAAACGTGAGAATCCACGAAAAACAAACTTGGCCTGACAACGCCGTCACGTCGGGCTACTCGGCACTTATTAGTGCCGAGTAGTCGTCTGGGGCGGCGAACAAGGACAGGGAAAAACGACATCAACGAGCGTTTTAAATAAAAGCGACGAACGCCACTTGCAGCCCGCCGAGCCGCGTAGGCAATAAGAGGCTTGGTGAAAACGAGGCAAAGAAGGAAACCTTGGACACGTCGAGTGTTAGCGTTAGGTTGCGCTCGCTTCCGGGGCGGGAAGAGGCCTAGGCCAAGAAAGGTTCGAAAACGAGACGAGTCGGCCGATGAAAGTTGCAGGAGCGATGCGACTATATCGCTACTATCGCTTCGACACGGACTACACTGGGGGTCGGCCGAATTAAGGTGAAGTGATACACGTCGAGGAACTTGATCGACGTTGATAAAGAAGATTTTTCTAAATGCCTACGTTGCCGACGTTGGTTTTTATATTGACAGCTGTGTCGAATTATATTGGATATCGTACCAAATGGCATACTCCACCTGTCGTTTTCGTACAATAAATATCAAGCAATCGAAGTAAAACTCCAGAAATCCTCTGGATTCGTGCTTTCTGGAGCCCTAATTGACTGCAGAGGGACCCCCTTCGCCATCTGTGATTTCCAGGTCAATTCAATTTTCACTCCGAGACCTCGTATTTCCATCGTTTTGGCATAGAAGCGCATACAACACTTTTTTTGCCTTTATCCCGTTCAAATGCGAGTTTATCGATTACCAGAGTGTTCTAAATTGTCGTAAAATTATCCTGACCCTTTCATTTCTCATATCAGAGCCTTCGATAATTGTATATCGATCGAAATATGAGAGCTTGACGCCATTTTGGTTCTGGTCTGGGTGAAGTTAAACAATTTTTTCCAAAAATCCAAATTTTGAATCTGTCAGGACAATTCTTAGATCGTCAGGAGTGATGTGTCAAAGTTTCGGACATTTTGGTCTAATACCCTTAAAAAAAAGTGTTGTATTCGAATTGACTGATTTGAAGGGGGTTTCACTTCACCTTAAACGCTGGCCGGGCGTAGCGTGCACTCGCACCGACTCGCGCGAACGGGCGGCGAGTGGCGAGCACGCCGACGCAAGTACTCGCAATTACCCGAGAGATCGCGCAACGAATGACTAATTGTCGAAATTGATGTTACGCTCAATTTCGGCGTGCAATTAGGGGGATGCGCGCATCCCCGCGCACTCGCGCGCCCTTGCACTCGCGTGCGCTCGCGCTCGCGTCCCAAGGGCCGCGCTCGCCGGCACGTAGCTTCGGAGCTCGGTTTATAAACGTTGCGTGCGCAATTTAGCGTTGAATTATTTTCACGCTTGCTTTAAATCCCTAGGAACACAGCGAACAACACGCCGCGGGCCCGCGGCATAAATTACTTACGACTCGCTCCGAAGTTATGCTCGCGCGAGTGCACGCACACGGCGCACCTCGCGCTCGCACACAGACTAACGGCACACATAATTCAGCATACAATTACCGCGGCCCGAACGGGTCGGAGGGTGCCCGTAAACACATCGAAACCTTACCGACTCTAGTAATACGTGCAGGGCACTTCTGTGCGCGCACCCGCAGCAGCTGTTTGTGTTGAGGTCGCGCGCTCTATGCACACCGTGAACCGGGTGCGCTTAGGCTACAATGGGAAGGTCTATACTCTGTGCTTCTAGTAATTAGATGAGATATAATCGTCTTTTCTTTTTAGAGGGAGAGAGAGAGCAGTTTCATCGTCGAACGGTTCTGGGGAAGTTCGTCGACTATCCGAGAAGATTAACGTGGGTTGATCAATTTTTATTCCACTGGTAGATTAGAAGAATTCGTTAAGTCACCTATATTTTGTTTTCTAGGAATAGTGGATGTACAGCTTCTAAGGGAACTGAAAGAGTAGAGATGGTTAACGATCAATCTCCTGGACGCCTATTAGCAAACTTTCGGACCCGCGCAATCGCCGTTTCTTTCGAAAGTCAGCGGTAGGTTACGCGTTAAGAATTCATGTTGTAACATCTATGATTTTATGGTATCTGGGTAATTAATTAACATTTAGTCTCGGCATTTGTTCTACGTATTCGTCGAGTATCGAGCGGAAGGGAGTAACTGGTAAACTGTATTCGGGCGAATGCCGAACACAGGGTGGACCCATCTCCTGGCCTCCAGCCTCGCCCGTGGCGCCACCTGTGTGTGCAGACCGCAACCCGTGCGAGACCGGCCGATCGCACAAAGGCACTTTCTTTAATTGAATCGCTGGGCCAGGCGCACGGCTAGACACACGAGGAAGCGATTCTCGTGTAATTGAATTACGTGCATCGAATACGCGCCTGCTTGCACCCAACTACGAGGTGCCGTCGCCCTCTATCGTCGATCTGAGTATGTTACTTTCTCACGGGATGTGCTTTGATTGAATTCCTTAATGGTTTTAAATCACTTTCAAACTCGTTAAAGTTAAAAACCCGAAGTTTCACGCTCGTTTACAGAGCGTCTTTCGTCTAGCGTGAACTTTATTGCTGTCAGGTACTTTATAAATGTTTTTACATAACACCGCAAATACTGAAGAATTAAAAATTTAAGGTTACTACGGTGACGAATACAATAACGGTCATTCATATATGTGGAGATGTATATGGGTATTGTGATCGAAAAATACGACGTTAGTAGTTCACCATGTGCCCTTTTCAAGTGCATATTGCAACGATATTTTTGTAAATTACCAAGGATATATACGTATGATAAATTTCAATCAAATATGTTTCATTCCGCCCGTAAAAAGAAGTTGGAGAAACAACGTCATCGAATTCGTCAATCGTGCATGTTGAACCGTATATCGTGAAATCGATTAACTTTACACCAGTAGCTATTTTTAACTGAAAAAAAATCAGTTATTGAGAGATTTATTTGGGCTTGAATTTATAACGCACCATGCAGTGTTTACCGGTGCATATTTTTAATACCCGTCACAGATTAAAATTGTCAGTCTCGGGTGAATTTAATTTTCCCTCGCAACTTCACGAATGACAGAAAAATCCTCCAATTAAACCGGAAAATGGAGAATGTGAACATGAAAATCTCTCTCTTGAATGTGAACGTGGAAATGGAAAAGGCCGGAATTAAAAACAGTAATGGAAAACCCTAAGATTAAAACCATCCCGGGTTAAACAGCTTTCTGCCTCAGAGAAAAATCCAGCAGTAGTTACACATTTACTTTTTAAACTACTTGAACCGAAAGAAGCTTTCTCGTATACATACCCTCTGATGTATTATTAATGTCACTAAATTAAAAGTATCAAAGTAAGTATGTAAATGGCCAGCAATTTACGGAAGAAGCTCATATATGAGCTCATAACTCTGTGACTTTGTTTTCGCACAAGTATTCCAAGCTTTTAATATTCGTCCCGCGAAAAAACATGAATTTTCCCATTTAATTATTTCTTACGACTTGATAAATAACAAATACAGCTTAAGATTAAATTGAGTTACGAAATATACATATTAATACCAAAATCTCTTGCGTGCCAGGGAAAGTTGAAATCAGAATTAATAATGGAATATTAGAAATGAGGGATAGGAAAGACCTCGGAAGTTAGCACGCAATTTTTTGTCACCACATTTACGACTCTTCCGTGTTGTGTGGGTATGTGGGAAATATTTAATAATGACTCGAAATCAAAAGAGGGTCGCTCGTGTATGTAGGGCTAATGTTCCATTATGACTATCAAGCTGAATTATATCGGTAAGCATAACCGCAAAGGTCGACGTCGTTCGTGCGAGAAGCTTGAGGCCGAGGTATAGCGGAAGGCACGAGACACCCACTGGGACTGCATGACGCTTCAAATAAAAGAAGAAAATTTATTCACAAATCGGGGAGATGCATATCGCGTGATTCCCATGAAAGGGGGAACTAAGGGCTTTTATTAAGGATACCTGCCCTGCGAGGCCGCGCCTTTCCTCCTCGCCCTCGCAGCAAACAATCGCTTCACGAATCCGCATAGTGTGCGTACGTACCAGTATAAAAAAAAGGACGTAATGAAGGGAGAGAAGCGAGGGGATTCGTTATTTTATATCAAATGAGTAGAAAATGGAATCGTTCGTTAAAAAATATTTAAACCTCCCCTTTCTGTTAATGAAAGGTCCCCTCGGGGAACACAAAATATAACAATAATATTTTTATTTCAAGGCTCAGTTATTTTTAATGTATATAGTAGCCTCAAAAACCGTATTTGCATAAAGCAACATACGTTCCATACTACTTGCAATCCTTTCATGTGGTTGTATTACGTCTCTGGGATTGACAATATTAATAAACATTTAGTTGCGTTTCAAGGTTTAGAGATTTGATGTTCTTCTCTACTGAAGATACGTCAATGATTAAAATATTATTTATTGATGAACATGGTTTGTTTATTGTATTATATTGTGCGAGAATTTATACAGGAATGTACGAAAGAACATTAATAAAATTATTTCTTAAAAAACATGGTGTTGGAAAACAGGAACTAGGCGATATACCGAGAAGAGGAAATTCTGAAGATGTTGATTCTTTAGCTCCTTTCGGAGCAGTTAACCCACAGAAGTAGTGTTCACATTTCCTACCCAAAAAGAATGTGGATTGGCTAAACCCTCGTCGGTTCGACCCGCCGCTTTCTTCATTTTGCGGCTAAAAATCAATTTCAGGTTTTCCTGGACAGCGAAGACTCTCCTCAAGATCGAGGGTGCTCGAAAGCGTCGACAGTTTCGGCGGTAAATTTCGCACGAGCCCCGAACAAAGAGACAAAGAACAAAGAGATTGGTCTGAAGGAGCGTGGCAGGGTGGGCAAAGTTTTATGAAATAATCGATAGGTTTATCCGACAGTTTGCAGGCAGGCAGGCAGACAAGCAGACAAACTGACTGTCAGTCGGGCAGGCAGGCAATGGCAGAGGGGCAGCTGGTTTTGGTATCAGTGGAAAATTTCACCCCATGAATGGCTCTAGGTGTGGATATCGATTGTGTTGCCGGCCTGGAATAGGACCGTTCTTTGTCTCATTGTCACTTCCCAAATATTCCCGGTACCATCCCTTCGTGCCCATCCCCTCTCCTAAAGTAATTACATTAATAAAGACAATTGAAACGGTAATAACGAGGAGGATAATAACGAGTTCGAAATGGGGCTATTTTACTCTTTCTTCTGCTGCGCCCCTCCTTCTCCCCGTCGTGATATAAATGATTAAAATCAATGTTTTATGTATTTAATATATTGAAATAAATTGTGGTAATTATTGAATCCTCTGCTAAACTGACATTATTGTTACTCGAAAAAAAAAAATGCTATATCGGTTTAAGCCGTGATCGCCTTATTCCAAAATTCATGGGTATTAATGGTATCACCCCAAAAATACCGTCGGTATAAAAAAACTTGCGCCAAATACATCCAATTGGAAAAATATATTTTACAAAGTCATATCCATGTAGTAGCGATTAATCGCACAAAATCAATAAAATCAGTTACTTTTGCCAAATACGTGCTTTAGGTGTTATATGCGAAACAAAATTTTACGAAAATATACCCATAAAGAAATCATTTGATTAGATTTGAGTCAGCTTACAAATATTTTCTAAACATTCCGGTTAATGAAGTAAAATGTTGCCTTTTCCATTGTCTTCTGATTTTTCTTTGTATCATCTTACTAGCAATAAACAATGTTTCGTCGTAAGATCGGAAATCTAACAACTGTGCATAAATTTCATCGCTCATTTGTTATGAGCCTCGTGTAGTAGAAAGTAGGTATTTACATGTGTACGTTTCTGTATTTCATTCTCGATCTGTGGCGTTCTATTGTTGGTATCACGTCGAGGGGAAAACGTTTTGTGGGATTGGAATTAGTCACAGTTTCTAAACAATGTTGTCGTACAAGTACGAAAAGTACGTGCGTAGGGAAACTCAAACATAAGTAACGCGGAAGGGGTCCTTGTTTTGATTTATGAGTCCTTTGTTGGGGCATGGAAACCCCTCAAAGCATCGTTTACAGTAGCGTATTAAAATCCAGTTCATTTGACACGTACGCCAAGACATTCGTCAAAGGTCCACAATTACATCGACATTTCTCTATCCGATTCATCCTCAGTGTTAATTGTTTATCTAGGAATAACATACTTAATATGGTACACCAGGGAATTTCAAATCGGTGAATAATAACGGTATATCTTCACCCGTTCATTGTTCGATCTTTTCTTCCTTTTTCATCCATCTCAAAGCGTGAAGCGCACTGCCCCCTCCTTAACAACGCTCAAAACAAAAATAAAAAAATATATACGCAGTCGCAATAACAGGTCAATAGAATTAGCAAAAGAAGAAACTAGAAAAATGTAGGCCGCCGTAATTTGTATGTGGAGTTCTTGTTCTGTTTCTCGTCGGGTCCAGGTTGGAAACGCGTTCCTTCTCTCTTGCACGCACGCTCGCTTCTTGGACGGATCCCCACTGCTGCGTGTAACGGACGTGGAAATTTTTAACAGAAACTATACGGATAGTTCTTCACGAATAGCGACGGGACTGTAATTTAGTTTACCGTCCGTCATCGTAAAAGAGATCGTATACTTTACGATCTCGGGAACGACCCTATACCTAGGGGGAAAAGATCGTCGCGATACCCACACGTCACATGGCGTGGTCGGGGAAATTCGAAGATAACTTCCGTAAGAAGAGCAAATGGGTCGTTCGTCTGGAATCGAATCGATTCGGGTGCAGTTTCATATGATTTCCCCAATTTCTCAATCTGTTAACCTTTGTAACGTTATATTCATCTTTTATTTGAATTTCCACGCCCCTCGGAGTATTCGGAAATAGCTTTTATGGAGTGGGTCAATAAATGTACGTCCGAAGTCAAATCGATCCGGAAACGGTGCCACGTAATATTTCCAGCCATTCTACCTCACCGGGTCGTCATACTTGAATTTCATTGATTTCAATTGAAAAATCTCGTGGTTGAGTTAAAAGAATAGTTTTAATGAGGGACGAAAGAGTCAGAGGAAGAGGGGAGAATTGTATGAGAGATGACTTTTATATTTTCTTATTAATCTTAATAATTCTTAGGAAAAATGTACAAAGGAGAGCCGCACCAAAAATGAATTTCAATTTCACCGATTTCATTTCTAGTCTATCCATCGTTTAATAATCGCGCATTTATACTGATATATTCTTATCTTTAAGATTTCTTTTATGACTACTGGGCACCCACATATATTTTTATGTGACTGCGAGGCGAGATCGTGTCGTGATTCTACTGCCGGTCATTCGATAAAAACTTTCTAGACTATCTGAAAACCATAGTAACCCGTAATACACAAAAATTCATGTTCATGTAGTATATACATTTATTATTCAAAAATGTATCCTAAATATTATGCAACACTTATTGTAGAGAAGTCTTTACCGAACAAACCTTGTCGATCGTTTAGCTGATTATTTATTAACGTGTTTTATTCAGCAGACCGGAAATAACGGACTACAAATTTGCATTCAATATGTTGCACGTGGTATTTGGCATCGAACACAGACACGAAAACTCAATGTCTCCAAGAAAGGTAGAACTGCGAGAACAAATAGAAGATAGGAGTGATGGATATAGACGACGTTTGTTCCGGAAGAGAGGGTCACCGGCGTTGTCTGCTTTTATAGTTCTTCTTTCCTCTTCTTGAAGTCATTGAACCGTACAGCCACTTGTTGCCACGTAGGAGTACGAAATTAAAAAAAAAATGAAATTTTCCTTTGCAAAGGTTATTCCAACTAATTGAGAATATTTAAAAATTTGCCCCATTAAGAAAAGAAAATAAATCTAATTTCAGTGGAGCCAAGATATTTGTCACAAATGGACCAGAATCGTTAATAAACGAATTTATGAACGTGGAATATTGAAATTAAAATAAGTTGTGCTGACACTTTTAGATATTACTTTTTTTTTAGTAACAGATTCTTAAGTACAGATTAAGAATAGCCAACTCATCTCGGAGCTTTCTTACGATTGTTGCGTACCCGTAGAAAGTGTATGGGGAGAATCAAAGAATGATGTAATCGAATTTTCTGCTCTATTGGGAGTTTGAGATGTTTGAAAGGATAAAGTTAGATCTTTCTCAGCTAGAAAGATTGGAAGAGACACGCCGGTTTAGAATTTCATTTGGCATTGCAGAAGAAAAAGTAATTTCCGCTAGGACGAAACGGGCGGAAAAGATCCTTTTCTTATGTTTTTCTCTAGCTTTTAGTAAGAACGAGTGAGAGTAGCGTCCGATGAGAAACTTTTTACTTTCAGGACGAAAAAGAAACGAATGTTGTCTCGTCTCCGCACAAGCCATAAGAAAGGATCTTTGGAATTTTCGTTTCTTTTTTCTCCACGGGCGGTGTTATAAACGTCATCAC